CTGATCAACGGTGACAATATGCGTCATTTTTGAAGGCTTCAAGCAGAAACCGGAAACCGCCTGTTGCACAGGCGCATGAAGTAACATATTTATGAAGGATTAATTATGTTTAATCGCGAAAAACAAGTTATAAATGGATTTTGTTTGATAAGCAGAAACTCTTCGCTTGCGGCTGTTCGATCAAACTTATAATTTTTGTGATAACTTTCTGGATATTCAAGAACAAGCGCATATTATCATTTATAATCAATAATCAGACGGATCAGCACCGCAACAAGCAAATTTTTTCTTTAATCTGCTTTTGCGATGTGGTCCCTAAAGTTGGTCCAGTGCGATGCGAAACTTTGAGAAAATTGTATAACATATCATGGTATATATTTGCTTGACAAATGCTTTAAAGGTTATCGCTTGCAATCAATATATAGACGTGATAAACTGTCCGGCTGAGTTTCCTGTGCTTCTTAAGGCAGCGATTGCACTATCGGCATTAATCTCTGATGAAAGCAAGTCACGTCCCTGTCCTCTACTCTGTGTTTCGGACGATAAAACTGATGAATAAAGCCTCATAATAGAGACACATAAAAACGGAATGAATTTTGCTCTTAGTGCCATGGGTACCGGAAACCTCCCTCAAGGTTCAGCATTTTTAGAGACTGTGAGACGATCAAAAATCGAAGCCAAACTCTTAGAATGAATGCGCACCTGCTCATCTGTGAGCTGAACGAACAACGAAGCGAAGAAGTGTTTTTGAGAAGGAGACGGAGGCGCCACGCCAAGCTTCAAAGAATGTTAGGCGTGGTCACAGACTGGTGGCAAAAAAGCAACAGCTGGTACACGTCCAACAGCCGCGAATGCCGTACTTATAACAGGAGAGGTTGCGAAGCCGAAATTCACCTATTGGCACGCCTATTTTCGTCCCTATCGATGGTTGGTAAGGAGAAGAAGCAGACTGTATGGCTCGTAAGCATAAGAAGCGGCGAAACGAGGCGAGTTGCTGTTGTGTTGGCCGAGTTACGGAGGAGGAAGCGGAGGAGGAGGAGGAGGAAAACGAGAACGAGAAGAGGAGACATTTCGCGAGCATATGCTGCCGCCGTTCGCCGTTGTTTATGCTGCCGCCAGTGGCACCTACCCGTGAGTGATATTTATCACCCGGGCAGTCGTAAGAGAGTGAAAGCGAGACACCGCCTCCGCCGCCGCTTCGCTGAGAACGGAAGTGGCGCTGCCCTGCCTCCTGCCTGATCATCGTTGAGGTATTCGCCTCCGTTGCCAGACGATGACGACGAAGCGACTACGAGGCAGTCGTCTGCTCGACGAGCTCCTGATCCCTGCTTTGCTGTGCGCGATCGCGTATCACCCGGACCACCGCCGTCGACGAGGAAGCATCCGAAGGGCTACAGCTGGTGGGAGTAAAAACAACATACTAATCCGTGTGCCATGCTTCTGCTTGGTGATCGGCACGAAAGGTTTTCATTTCCAAAAATAACTGCTCTTTGTGAACAAGGCGAGAGGCTCAAGCAGCTTCTAACTCCGTTCTTGCCTCTCAACAATGCGGAAGGCATATTCACGCTTGTTTAGTCGCTGAATCAAACCAAGGAACATCCGGAAAATAAATTAATTTATAAGTTAGCAGTGTTTACTGTTTGACTTAGGAGCTGTTGTCAGATCCCAGTCATCACTAATCTTCCACTTTCGAAATTATATTAATATCATATAGCCAGAACAGTACAAATGGTTTTACTGCGCTACGGACGAATATCTATGCATGTACCGAGTATTCATAAATTTTTACGATATCGAGGCAAATCCAGATCTTTACATAAATCGATGCAGTTTAGGACGAACTGTTCACAGAGCCAGGATTTGCTCGCACACACCTTTGCATGTACATGTGCACAACCTGCGTAGATCTTGCAAAGCCTACATTCTTCTTCCTTGCTTATAACGTTTGCCAGGGTATCATCAATGCTCAACGTTTAAGAAAGGAAAAAGGTTAATAGCCGTAGGCCGTTGGTTTCCCTCACACCTTGATGATGAGGAATCACTTGTGGTGCCCTTCATTTCATGAAGTTTGTCCTGGGGCTCTGATCTCCATTTTCAGGCCATCAGCCAGGCGTGCTTTATTTTCAAACGTAGGGTAGGCAGCAGCTTGTGACAGGCATGGCGTACTGTATCGTTTCATTCACTCAGAGTGGGTCTCATTTACCAACCTCGGAAGAAAGAAAGGCGAGTGACCGAATCGGTGTCGAACCCATGAACTCCAAGTTCCATGCCCAACACTTTGCCGAATTAATAAGCCCTGTCTATTGAAGAAATACTGCAGAGCGGATACAGGTGTTCTGCGTGTTTCTCCAGTACCACCGTGTAGTTCGCAAAGCAGACATTCGGTGTTGACACAGTCTAAGTTTACGCACTCCCATTAACATGAGTCCCGTAATTTCCATCTGTACAGATGCTACGCACATGCCCGGTTCTTAATGGGTTAATGAGGATAGACGGCATATTGAAACCAAGATGATAGACAACCAGACCCTGGATTGGAGCCTTATTTCGAACGAGTCATTTATTGCAAAATATATGGGTCTTGCTGCGATCAATTTAATGGAATTTTAAAGTGTACGATCAGACAAGTTGGTTCTGCCGAAGGAAAGAACAAAAGCCACCTTTAAGAAGAACTGAAAGAATCGATTGACTTTGGCTTACAGGACCCCAAAGGCATAAAGCATCCCAAAGGCATGAAGAACGTCACAGAAAGATGCGAGCTGAAACAGTTTACAGAACACGGGGAACAAGGTTTCCATTTCCCTCACCGAAGTTCCTCCTCCTCCTTTGGAGACTCAAAAAGATGTTTTGATGCTGTCAGATGTCGAACAACAAAGATACCATTATTATCTATCTTCTAGCAGTTACTATATGAATTGATAAGCCAACAAACTGCTTTAGAGAAGAGTCTTCTGTAATTCTCTCTAACACACTGGAAGAAAGGGTTCTCCTTAAAAAAAGATCGATAGAACAATGACGATGATAAGAACCTCCAAAACACAAACACCTTAGTCTTCTTTTCACATCATTTCAAAGATGGGAGAGGTGAGGAAACAGCCGGATGAATGCTAAAACATATCTTTATGCAACAGTGACTACGATGTTCAAGATGTCACGTGCGCAGTTTACGTACAAACGTTTTATTCGCACAGGTGATGTCCCTGCTTACAGTATGTTTTGGCTACCGTTGCTCGGATTTCGGCGATGGATCGACTCTCATCCGAAGCATGAGTTGTGCGACTAAATGGACACGTGGCATTTCGAGCGACATTAATATCCAATAAACGTCCATAAAATCGAAGCTACGTATTTTGCACTTCTCAGCTGTTTTCCTTAGGTGCGATTCCTTGGGAAACATAAGACGCTGATTTCAGTTGCTCTGTCATCATTGAGGAATGCATAATTTGAAACGCAGAGTCGGACGCAGTAATGTCGCATGTATGGAGTGTGGCATCCTGTTCCCTTCTCTCATAAAGGAGGTACGCATTCATGTACTTTTGAATGAACAACGGACACAAACCTGATCACGCGGGTTTTCGGCCAGAATGCTGGCGCAGCGCTCGGATGCTCGGTCGAAGTCCCTTTGGCGAAACAAAAGCAGGGCGTGCAGGAAGGGATCCATCGGCTACCGTTGGAGCGACAAACCTACCGTATAAGGGGGACAAGAGGGGAAGCAGTTCGTCGTCTCCTCGCCAGCGTCACCGTTGTCGTCAAATCGAAGCGATTACGGCTGTGTGTACGCGCGCATAGCAACGGTTACCCAGGAGACGGAACGCGAGACGCACATAAAACTTTATTTAGTCGTATTCAACAACAACGCAAAGTATGACGCATCCAAATATGCTACACATTCCACTGAGCTACGGTAGTAGTAGAAGTATACGTTGCTAAGGTCACTCGACGACGTTAACGTTATGCCAACATGGTTTATGGACAGACACCGGCAGCACAGAGCATGTACAGGCGCAACACAACAGTTAATTAATAAGTAGTTAATTCATTCATTAAATGGAAACGAAAAATAAGAAGAATGACGTTAGCTGTGACGAGTTGCGGAGGATATCCGATGCATTACGAAACATTAGCTAAACAGGACCTATATCTGTAGAAACGAAACCGACAACGTCCATAAATACGTCAACAGAAAGCTACATCACTAACTGCATTATCGTCTAGAAGATTGATTGATCGGAAAAGGTAATAAAGTAGTTCAAACGCGCGCGTGCTTTACGACTGGCATTGAAACGTGGTGTGTACGTGTGAAGCAGATGATGTTCGACGGTAGGCCCGCTGGATCATTACCACAATCGACGAATGTACATTCCTTTTACGTCTCGTGGCATTCCCATGGCGGTCATCCCGGACTGGTTAGCGAGCTTCTCCATGCCGCTCCAGAAGGGCACGTCGGGAGCACGAGACAGATCCTCAGGCAGATCTCCTCGGGTGTCGTCAATGAACGATGTCAGCACCTGCCGCGGCATACCGAAGCCGGTCTTACCAGCCTGGCTGTCCCCCCAATTGATGCCCATCTGGTAAGGAATCAGACCCTGACTCTGCGGGTCCTGACGACTCAACCGCATGATCGTCGTGTTGCGTGGCATACCGAAGGACGTCATGCCTGCCTGGGAGGCACCGTTGATTGAGCCGCTGGTCTGGCGTGGTATCACTGATTCGTCGTTCGCTACTTC